ATAGTATGAAGATTTTTATATGTAACATGTATTAAATGGAATAATCATTCCACTAAGATTCGATTCAACGGTCCGAGGACTTCGACGTTCTGAGGAGGGAAACGAACTCTTTCTTCCCAGTGACCTAAATGAGACCGAAATTTCTGTCGGCAAGCTAAATAATCAAAAGACTGGAGGATCACTTTAGATCGATAATTTCGATCCGGGGTGTCTTAGGGAAAGTTGCCGAGGCAAATTTATCAAGGATGCCCAGCGATTCCTTCGGAGGGGTCGCCGACGTGAATTTCGCAAGGTCGGCGAGAGGTCGAAGCTCGACCCCACGGAAACCACCGACTTTGGAATCCCGTGCCCCGGTAAGGACGAACTTTTCCGATCAGCCGAAACCGGGTTCGGGCGAGTTCTCATTTAATTACTAGTTGAATTGCTCTCCGCCCCAATTGCGCGCTCGATTTATCAGGAATAATCGGGCCGAACCCTTCCCCCCTAATTTTCCCTGATCGGACCGCGCACGGCACGCCCTCGGTCTTGGGCTTTTAATTATGCATCGGCCCAACTATTCCTGCGAGAAATGGCCGAGAACGGTGACCAAGGTCAGTCGGGACGACTATCGTGTTGGACGCTCGTCGAAAAAATTATCTCGCTAGTCGAAAAAATTATCTCGCTCGTCGTGAAAATCATCTCGTTCGTCGAAAAAATTATCTCGCTCGTCGAAAAAATCATCTCGCTCGTCGAAAAAAATCATCTCGGTCGTCGAAAAAATCATCTCGCTCGTCGAAAAAAATCATCTCGCTCGTCGAAAAAATCATCTCGCTCGTCGAAAAAAATCATCTCGGTCGTCGAAAAAATCATCTCGCTCGTCGAAAAAAATCATCTCGCTCGTCGAAAAAATTATCTCGCCCGCCGGGGTAACCCAGGGTGGCCAATTTAGTGAATCGACCCAAATCCAGGGATTTTCGAAAGCTCGTTGCGATTTTCTTTACGAGACGCGTCAAGACATAATTTAGTGTCTCACCTAAGCGGCATAACCGTTTCGTTCCTCTGTATATTTTATATATGCTGCTTCAATTCCTACTTCTATTTTCATCGATGACCCTCGTAATACGAATTACCATATTTCGCTGTGTGCTTCGATACAAAGAAAAAATTCCAAACACCAATCTGAATTACAAACCAGTCTTGAGAGTTAAACATGAAAACTTATACTATACGCACTCTTAATATTGCGTTTTATTATTACGTTCTGCAATATGAAATCCAGCGAAGTGAATGATCGTTGTTCAACTTTTGATGAGTTTTAGAGGGTCTCGGGAGCCTCTTGATTTCTCTCGTGGAAAAGTTGGCCATCCTGCGGTAAACCACGGACGTATTAATCCGAGCTCTAATTCCAGTCAACAAATGGAATACGTTGTATCAAAGACCGCGGCGCACTGGCGACATTCCCGTGCCCCGGCATTGTGTACCTACACCTGTGACAACATTGACCGTCGAACCGAAATTACCGCCCGGTGAATGAATCCCATCCGCCCTAATTTTCCATTCCACGTGGCAATTCGATTAGTCATTAGGTTTGTAGAATTGCGAGAAGTGCAGAAATCCCGAAATCGGAGGAGTCCCTCTCTCCGACATCGATCGGCCACTATATCCTCGTAACGAGCGTCTTAATTGCATAAAATCCAATTTGACGTGATTTTGTCGAACACCTTTAATGCAACGCGCGGCCCGGAACATGTCGAGCGTTGTTTACCATTGGTTTCCATGGGGACCAGAAATGATAAACTTGAAAATAAGGATTACCGCGGAATCTACATGAACACAGTTTATACTTATCTAGGATTCGATGAGAATTTAAGAACAAAATTGAAAAAAGAAAAAAATTCTTAATATTTCCCGGTGAAATTCATTTCTTAACCCAAAGGGTGCCATTCGTTTCCGGTACAGTCGTCATTCCCTCTTTTCTCCTTCCTCGCCAGGGACTTGAAAACGCGGCGCCGAAATCAAGAGGACTCTAATTCGTATCGGCCTCGATCGGCCCGATATTCCGAGAAGAGTTTGAAGCGACGCTAACGAGTCGAATTTCGCCGATTGACGAGCAAGACAATTTGATCGGTCGGCATAAATCAGCGCCAGCTGTTGCGGGGCTCAAAGTCTGGGCGGATCGTTTCTCCCCTCGTCGTTATTTGGCTACTTTCTCCACGCGAGGGCCGGTCATTACTCTCGTAAGAGCAATATTCCCCGATATACGGTGCGCGGGCCAAAGCAACAGTTACCGACATATGGTCCCTCTGCCAAGACCTCGCCTTTCCCGTCCCTATTTTTCACGACAATCATACCGTATCTATTTATTCTCCCTACCGGTAAGCGTAACGAAGTCGTAAGTAAACCCCTCGTCCCCCGAATTCCTCGACTTCGAGGTTAGCATATGGAAAACGTGGGAAGGCGCGAGCGCCGAGACTAACGAACGCGACATCGGTTCGAAGTTTCCGGCGATTCTCCGATCTAACCTCAAAAAGGGCGAGAAAACGCTAGTCATCGCGGTGGAAGGCCTCCCCGGAATAATTCGTCGGTACGGAGAGACGCTCGGACGAAGGAAGCGACTCCCGGACCCCCCGGGGCCAGGAGAGGTCGCATCTTCCGGAACGAAGGGAGCCGCGCTCGGTCGAGCACAGGAGACTCCCCGAGGGCCGCGGAGGTCGACGGTTGAATGGACGGCCGCGGAGGGGCCCGGGGGGTAGGAAAACAGAGCAGCGTGACTCCGAGGGTAGGCAGGTCGATAGCAATGGCGCCGCGCTCGCCTCCGCCTGAGAGAGAGAAAATCAATCGGCGACCCCAACGCGGGGCCCGCTCCTGTGCCCCCGGGACCCTTCGGCCCGTCGGTCGGTAGCGAAGGGCTCCGAGGTTACCGACCGACCGTAGAAGAGCCGAGGGACCTGCCCCCCGGATTGAACGAAATTTACCCCCGGACGATACATTCGGCGAAACCGGTAACGGGTCGAGAGGTATCGTAAGGTCGAGAGGCGTGTACACGTATCACCGTTTATCTCCATCGAGATATCAACACGGAAGCCCGGTCTCGCCGGGCCCGACCGGAGTCGAGATCGGAGCACTCGTCGACGACTTCCGCGGGTCGAGGGCTCGGGCCCGAGCATGAATGGCTCGGTGTGGGCCGAGCGGGCGCGCATGCGCGGTCGGCCTCGGGCCCGACCCGGCGCGACCCGGGCGACCGGGGCTGCGGGCTTACTTTTGATCACGCGTTCCGTCGTCGAGAGCTTCTGGGAGTTGTTGGAGGTCATGCTGGCTGAGAGTGGCACCGGCCGTGCCGCGGGTCGGCGCTCCGCGTCGGCGGCGGCGGAGGCGACGGTGGCGGTGGCAGCGGCGACGAAGGCGGCTGCGGCTGCTTAGGTGGCGGCGCCCGGCGAAGGACGGTGGTTCCTCGCGGCTCCCGCGGGGAGGGGGCGGGAGTTACCGGTGGGAGCGAGCGCGACGCATCAAGGAGCGCGGCGCTCAGGCGCGCGCCTCCGGGTCCGACCGGGAGCGGGAGGGACCCCCTCGACGGGCGGCTACTCCGCGGACGACGGGCGCGAGCGACCGCGGGCGGCCGAGCGAGGGAGACGGACGGCGAGGCGCTCGCGCGGCCACCGGCGGACGGAGAGGGACTGCGAGTGACCGAGAGAGACCGAGAGACGGAGGCCCTCGTCGCACCGTCGAAGCGGCGGTCGCGCCGCGCTCCAGCGCCCGCGGCGACCTTACGGGATTCCCGAGGGACTCCCAACCAGAGGCAGCCCGAGACCGCGCGAGAGGACCGGACGTCGCACCGAGACGCACGACACCCCGACGCGAGGACACCCACGACCCGCCAACACGCCGCTCGATTCTACCGACAAGATGTCCGTCTCTGATCAGCGCCGCGCACACTGATGGTCCTCCGCGCCGCCTCTGGGCCCGCGCGCAACCGCCACGCGCACCGATCATTCCGCCGCCGCCGCCGCCGCCGCCGGCCCTCCGCCGCGCCGCTGCGCACTCCGACCCGGGAGCTCCGAGCGCTCGCGCGCGTGGCGCCATCCGGTGGACCGTCCGCGATGCGTTTGCTCGGTAAAGGAGGTAACGCGGCCCCGCCGCTTCTTTCCCGATAGAGCTCCGCCGAGGCGATGACTGGGTAAAGGTACCTTTTCATTGGCGTCAAGTCGACGCCGAAACAAAGCGTTACGTGGTCACGTGATTTTGCCAACGCTCCGTGAAAAGCGGTTACGACGTTGATATCGGTCCGATGCCTCGGGTTCGTTTAAACTTTTAAATTTCGGACGATGCATGATCCGACGACGAATATAGCTGGAAGTTCCCACGTTCGAGGGTCTATTTAAAACCCATGAACTGGCACCTTAAGCCGGAACTCTTTAAGCGCGACGCGTTGCTACGTCGAGGATAAAAAGACCAATTGGAGATCTGATGGAAGTATGTACGCGCGGAGTTACACGCGGTTTCGATTGGTTGTCATCTTGGATGCGTTGACGCGCCGCGCCGCGTGTGACCCCCGACGCGCTCCGTGGACCCCAGCCTTCCGGGATCAATAAGAGATGAATCTTGTATAGAAATCTGTTACTGGGACATGTTTCGAGTCTCCTTCGCGATCGAGGCCACTAGGTCAAGGTAAACGATGACAGTACCATGAGCAAAAGATGGCATAACGTTTTCAAAGGAGCGAAAGCGTCTTGCGTCGGTAAAGAAGCGGGTGATACAGATTTGCCATACACTGACAATACCTTCGGTAAACGGAAAGACTGTGGAACGTTTCCACGGGATTAAAAGCTTTTCGACGTCACCGTAGAAATTCGCAAACATTAAATATGACGTACATACGTCCTGTCATCTCATAGAGTGTTTCTCCGAATTAATCAAGTACATATAAATATTACGAAACGAGGTCATTTTACCGATGCAGAAAATTCTCGTCCGTTTCAAACTATTGCACCGACTCTCCGTCGATTTAGCGCTAAAATCAGTATCAGCTAGTAGCAGATCTCTACTAGTAGGCACTGTCGAAACTTGACTTCAATCCTAAAAGTGATGGGAAACGTCTAAATATTAATTTGGAGTATAAACGTATCTCCATTCTAATCTCTGGTTTATCGAATACAGAAGCATCGTCGAGGGTGAAAACCGCTCTCGGAAGAATCTCATCGCCTTCCTTTTACCGGCACTAGTTCCAGGTTCCGTTTAGTTGACCGATTTTCCCGCTTTAATTTGCGATGCTAGCGACGACCGACCGCCGATACAAGAGCCATCTGACGTGGCAAGAAATAAAATCCTCGCAGCCACTGGCAGCGGTCCCCGTCAATTTCCGTCGATTCCGGTATACACCGTCTATCAAACGTGTTTGCAGGTTTCTCGGCTGCGTTTCTCGTCGTTGATGGTATACCTCCGGTCCATGGGGTACCTTCCCCACGAGATTTCTTCGACAGTTTATTCCGGGTACTTGATTTCGCTCTTCTAAAACGCCCGGCTGCTACTCGATCATGGAGGGCGCCTACCGGATCCCGGAGCTCCTCCTCGTCGCTCTGGTATTCTCGTTCCTGCCCTTCATCGGAGCCGATGAACATAATCACGTAGTAAGTATATGGCTGTATTGCCTCTCACCTGGCACGAGTCGCTTCAAAGTGTCAAACTCTCCATAACGTGCCCCATAGCACTTGACTTGCGAACAGGTTCCTGTGCATGTTCCCTGACCTGACGTTCCGATGGCTTCGAAACCCATCTTCCCATATCCGCAATTGGTATAACGAAAGGATTGCGTGATCTTAATATATGGAAATGTGTACGAATGACATTTACATGGATGAATGTAAATGTCATAACGCTATATGTTTTAGTAGACATTATAAAGATGTGACGATAGGTACAATGCGTGTAAATTGTAATATCGAATTGGTTTCTTATAATTCATTTCCTGCATGTTCTTCAATTACAAAATTTGTATGTATCCAATACCGAGATGTCAGACTAGGAGAGTATACTATATTGAATGACATTGTGTCGACAGAACGTAATAATGTTACTCCTATTCACAGTACGAGGATAACGAAGAGGTTGTGTTATGGATGAGCACGGTCGGTCCTTATCATAACAGGCAAGAAACCTATTCCTATTACTCGCTCCCATTTTGTGTGGGAGCAAGAGAAATGATAAGTCATTATCATGAAACGCTGTCGGAAGCACTTCAAGGAATCGAACTGAAGTTCAGTGGATTAGATATTGAATTTAAAGGTAACTTTTAATTGTATGTTGTCAACAAATATTTTGATGGTATGAAGTAATTAAATAAATTCATTTTCAGTGGATATCTCAAAAACTGAATACTGCGAGATTGTCCTAAACGAGGAGAGCCAAAAGGCATTTGTTTATGCTGTGAAAAATCAATATTGGTACCAAATGTACATTGATGATTTACCAATTTGGGGTAAGAATGCTGGATCGTTGGCCATCTAGTTATTTGGATCATAATACTTCAGAAATATTTTTTAATTTATTCATCGATAGGTGTGGTGGGTGAACCGGAAGAAAATAATGGTGTGACCTCGTACTACATTTGGACACACAAAAAGCTAGATATAGGATACAATGGCAAACAAATAGTTGACGTGAACCTTACCAGTGAAAATAAAATTAAACTGGTACAAGGCACACACATCCCCCTCAGTTACGAAGTCAACTGGAAAAAGAGTAATGTCCGATTCAAAGACAGATTTGATAAATATCTTGATCCTAATTTCTTCCAACATAGAGTAAGTTTACGTAACCGTATGTACATATTTGGACGTGAGGTTATAAATTTTGATTGTATACAAATTATTCTCTTACAAAAAAAAAAATAATTTTCTCTTTCTAGATTCATTGGTTTAGCATTTTCAACAGTTTCATGATGGTAATTTTCCTTGTTGGTCTTGTTTCAATGATTCTAATGCGTACACTCAGAAAAGATTATGCAAGATACAGTAGAGATGAAGAAATTGACGACATGGAAAGAGATCTCGGTGATGAGTACGGTTGGAAACAAGTTCACGGAGATGTTTTCAGGCCAGCAAGTCATTCAATGGTATTTTCAGCTCTGGTTGGAGCTGGTTATCAGGTCAGTAAAGGTTTAGTGCCCTTAAACGGAAGTAATAAAATATCTTCATGGTCATAACCGAAGCTACATTTACTCCTCTCTTCAGGTGACCGTTGTGGTACTTAGTGTAATAATATTTGCTATCCTTGGAGAACTTTATACAGAGCGGGGCTCCATGCTTTCCACTGCAATCTTTGTTTATGCTGCCACCTCACCGATAAATGGATACACTGGAGGTGGCTTATACGCGCGAATGGGAGGACGTGTCTGGATTAAACAGATGCTAGTCTGTGCGTTTATGCTTCCACTAATGGTTTGCGGCACTGCATTCTTCATAAACTTTATTGCCATGTACTATCACGCCAGCAGAGCTATCCCATTTGGCTCCATGGTGAGTTATACTCGTTAGATAGAATTTACGTACAAGAGTAGAAACTTTAACCTATGTTTGTAGGTGGCGGTCACGTGCATTTGCATATTTGTCATCTTGCCACTGACGTTGGTAGGAACTATTTTAGGACGTAATCTTGCTGGAACTCCCGATGCTCCTTGCAGAGTAAACGCAGTACCCAGACCTATTCCAGAGAAGAAATGGTTCATGGAACCTTTGGTCATAATCATGTTAGGAGGGATACTACCTTTTGGCTCAATTTTTATTGAAATGTAAGATTGGATGCAAGATTTCTTGTTCATTATGGCTTTCAGTTAAAACAAACGATGTTACTCGGCATTCTTTTTTTTAGGTACTTCATTTTCACATCTTTCTGGGCATATAAGATCTACTACGTTTACGGTTTCATGTTGCTCGTCTTTGTCATATTGATGGTGGTCACGGTTTGTGTCACTATTGTGTGCACATACTTCCTGCTCAATGCCGAAGATTATCGATGGTAATTATATTCTTTTTCATACGTATAGAATGAATCTTTCAATGCATTCCATTTAGACATGGTTGAGCAATAACTGGTAGAAGGCCTTCATTGGTCTATCAGTTCTATCAATTACTGCTAAGTCGTACATAGATCTATCCACGTAATAGGCACATTTTATCGAAACTTAACGATCAAACGAGTTTCTTTCTGTGAAACAACGCCAGAAATATGCCACTCTATCGTTTGTGAAACTACGTTGAAACTGTTAACATTGAACATTCATTTTTTCAGGCAGTGGACGAGTTTTCTGGCAGCAGCGTCAACTGCAGGCTACGTCTACATCTACTCCTTCTATTACTTCTTCTTCAAAACCAAGTAAATAACTTCGTTAACTTTCTTGAAAGCGTAATACGTAGATGACATCACACCGACGATTCTTGTTTCAGGATGTACGGCCTCTTCCAGACTGCGTTCTACTTTGGCTACATGGCACTGTTCAGTTTAGCCCTGGGCATCATGTGCGGCACGGTGGGCTATGTCGGCACCAACGCGTTCGTACGCAAGATATACTCCACCGTGAAGATAGACTAATTTGCCACTGAATTACGCAAATCCACCACAAAACTCACTAATGTCGCGGATCGAAGTGACACGCAGCAGCGAGTCGGTTTGCCATTCGACGAGGGACTCCTTTACGTCCACCCTTGATGCCGTTCCGTGGACACTGTGATATATTCTCACGTCGGCTCCGTTTCATTGGGCAAATAATCAAGACGCGGATGAGCACTCGCGCTTTGCGTTGACAGTATCAAAAGTCATCTGTAAGCATATGCGTGAACGTGCGTCATGTCCACCGATCGTCCATGTGGCGCGCATATGAGTCCCAAGTTTGACAGCTGTCACACGTCACGTGGTGTACCAAGGACGCAGCGTGCGCACGTGCTGCCCGTTCGCGAAGAGTCGCGTAGACAATGCTAAACCATACCGGACGCACTAGTCAGCCGTACTTCACTAGTTAAGGGCAGGAACATTATCGCTTCTCGAGAGATTCCTTTTCGGCGAAAAGACCTATGAAAAAGGATCGATTGTGCGCGAGTCGTACTAGTGGTACGTGGAGCAAGAAAGACGCGCTGCAAATTTCTTCCGGCAGCCGGTGGAGGCCTTCGAGAACGGGAGCAGCAAGTCTTCGTGGGAACAGTGGGGGATGTTTAAACGAACCCAGTACTCGTCCATTTGATCATTTGCTTACGCTTTCTGATTTACCTTCTAATACTGGGCAGCAGGCCATCTCGGTGGGGTGCGTAGCATTTTGTTTCGAGGAAGAGTTGCGTTAAATATCCTTGATTTGTACAGAATATGCAGCTTAATGTTTACGACTTGAATTGTTCTTTCATTATTCACCGCATGTTAGCAAGTACTTCTTTTGAGATCGAGGATTGAAATAAGATGAAATGCTATACAGAGATTATCTGAATATATCTTAATATCTGTTCAAAACATAGGATGTGGGGAGCCTGTTTTATGACGCATCATTGTACCCTCTTAGAACCATTTCCGAAGTTGTAAGTGATACAGAGCTGGTTCCAAGAGGTAATGTCAAATGATTTTGCTTTCATATTTTGGGGCATGATCAATTGGTAACCATTTTATGACGCACCCAATAAAAGATGCCCCGTGTCGAGGCAGCTAAGTCGTCGAAAACGGGGCACGATTGCACATAGTTCGTTTGACTGATATTTTCTTATGACCGCACGCCGAAAATAGAAGAATAGGACGCGTGGGGGATTAAGTATTTCAGATGGCTTGAGGGAAGCCAAGCGTAATCAGTCGGAGCGCCCGTAATTGTATCTCGGTAATGATCGAATCCCTTTTAACATAAATTTATAATATTGTAAAGAAAAAATTGTTTGTACGCAAATTAAGGATCCTATCGAAGATGTATGTCAGTCTTCGTTTTCCTAATGGTGTTGATATATCACTCGGCCTTTTAAACGATCGATTTAATCTTGAAAAATAATTGCAGAGTCCTGTAGACTTGTTACCATGGCCGTGCTAGAGTACATCAAACGTTCGGTATCTGTAAGTTCGGGTACACGACATGCGTACCGATTCGCAATGAGACCAGTGCATTGTAGACTCGTAAACGATTAACGCGTTTACGTGCACACATACTCGCGTTAAATGTCGAGAAATTCTTAACGAATAGTCACGCGTGGGATCGTGACCGGAGCGGTATTGTAGATTTATGTTGTCAATGATTTTGAAAGACGTGACTTATTGTTAGGTCTAGGAGATAAGTGAAATATAAAATTTCTACCTACAAGATGCTATATCAATAATTTTTTCCAGTTTAAGGTAAACGTATCACAGTTGATAGATAATGTCTCTCGAATCTCGAAAACCTGGGTTTTGAATATATTATACTTTGGACTTAGAATTTCTTTACGGGACAAAATATAGGAGGCAGTAATCCCGAGATATTTATCAAGTTTAAATTGATATTTCAATTTAATGAATATGTACATATAGTTAGACAATAGCAAAAAGTACAAAAAACCGAGGCTACACCTGGCGCTTCATTGAATTTCTTCAGTAAAAGTACTACTTTGCAAGGAATTGTCATTAAAACTTAGTATAAAATGTCAGTGTACTGTATGTTCAATGGGAAATTAACTTATTTATATCTCCTAATCACACGCATAAAATCGAAAAGAAAACTGGGACTTGGTGCACACACATGTATCCTGCACACGCTAAATTAATTTGGCTGTCTATATATAAAAGGCTTACGTTTTGAAAAGATAAAACAATATTTACAATTTTCTTTTCAAAGACGAATATAAAGTGAAATGAAATAGAGTCAAATGTAAATACTTTGACATACAGTTCACTTTATGCCATTTGTCTTCTTCGTCGAAGAATAATTTAATGGGATTCCGATTTTTTGTCTCAAAATAATATCGAAATAGAGATACCTCGAAATTGACAACATTATATTGCGTACCCGTATTGAAACGACACTCTTTAAAGAGAGTTACCTCTTAATATTCACACTTTGCTCCTATCGTCACTAAAACCGAGCATCGTTTGTGGTTTTTTTTCCTTCTCTTCTGGAGATTTAAATCCCAGATTGAATTCTGTTTTAAACATTTCCCTATAATAACTTTCCTTCACAATGTCGCAGTCTTGTATTCCATCCTCCTTACATTTCTGCACATAAAGTTTATGCATTGCAGCGATACTAAGACTTGAGTCTAGGTATCTTCTAGTAGAGCGATCCTTATTATTTGCTTTTTCCGTGGGAAAAGATTTAATGTGTTCGCGCACTCTGTCTTTAACCACTTCGCTCTTTTTTGTTTTAGGAGTGTGTCTTCCCCTTTGATCCGGCCCTATTATTCCACCCGGAGAAGTTCTTTTTTTGTCCATCGCGTGTCTTACAAACTTTTCCGATACTGAAAAGGTACTAAGAAACATTGGCTTGCAAACTGTTATGAACTCTCCCTTAATTAGCAAAGAATAAGTGAAAGTAACTTGTCTGCGATGCTCTGACTTAACATTCCCACGGCATCTTGTACGTTGTTTAGGAGATTCTTTAACAGACAGTGCAATGTACTGTTTGCGCTGCTCCCATGTACAGGTTTTCCAAAATACGTTGTGCAACTGCTCACGTGCTTCTTCATCTATCTTTTCACTGCAATGCATGCGACAATCGCAAGGAGGACCCATGACCTTTGCAGGTACTATCTTCCCTATTTTTAAAAAATGTTGTTTAGAAAAATGTTAAGTGGTTGTATAAAATCTTACAATAGTAACAATAATGTACCTCCTACTCCTACATACTCCTCTCCTCTTAATCTAGCATTTTTTTTTATATTTACTTTCCACTTCTCTGGATGTTTTGTGCGCTTAACAATGTCCTTGGCCTCTTTACCAGATTTAGTCTTTATTACATTCCGTTTTACTTTCTTAGGAATTGACTCAAATGATACGTCATTCTGATGCTGAATATCTTCAGAATTACCTTTATATAAATGAAGTTAATGCATGATATATTGCCTAAATTTAGTTGAATCTATTAATAAATTTACTAAACGAAAAATTTAATCACCTAAGACATGATAACCTGCAGACGGATTACTAGGAACTTCGTCCTCACGTAAAATGATTGGATCCACCACTGTTATTCCAGGTGTATCCCGCCACCACTGGGCAGCTGTTGGTAATTCCCCAAATGTACCTGTAGGAACTGATATGTGGCTATAAATTTATGTAAGAATGAAACCATGCATATACTAGATAATTAGAAAAGACCTTTTTCTATTAGCTTAATCATCATATACTCAATTGGAAAATCACTAACCTACTTCATTTTGAAACTTGTAATAAGTTGGTTGTATTTGATGCTGGGGAATGTCTATACGTCTACTATCAAACCATAACTCCGCATCTTTTCTCATAGGAGTAATTTGATTCGACGGATTGATTTCTATTACATTGTGATTTATGTTTCCCTCCATTCTTGGGACATATCTCAAAGTTCAAGATGTCAAGCTTTGTAATAGTCTGATTTCACGAATACCACCAACCACCTAAAGATAAAACAATTAGGTGTTGAACATTATTCCATTTATTTATGAAGATTTACAGATTACCCTACTTTAGAAAGATTTTATAAGTACACAACAGAAATATCCTTATAAGTAGATCCAGATAAAAATTCAAAAATAACCAGCTTATAGTTATAAAAATTAAAGGAAAAGTAATGTAAGAACTGACAACTTGCAGATCATTATTCAAAGCTAACAGCAAAATTAAAGTACATTAAATATAGACAAACCCTACAGTCGTTAGTTTTAAAGTCCAGGGAACAGTTTAATGTAAAATCTATAAAATATTTAGAAATCCCTGCGTATGTACTTGGTTACTCATTATTAATAAAAATACTTCAGAAGTTGGGTTAAATTCTTGTTTTTATACTCCTCACATTTTCAAAAGTAATTATATCGTAAATGTGATTCCATCGTTGCAAGCATCCTTCCTAGATACGTTTTCTTCGTCATCAAAAAATAGTATCACAAATCATACAATATGAACACAAAATATGACGTCTAATTCAAGTCTAATCGCCGCCTTGACGACCATTGACAACACTTCTCAACACTTCGCATAAGAAGGCTATAGACAGAGATGAGTTGGGAGATTGCTTATGGGCAGGGTCGAGCGATCAATCCTGTGCTGCCCTCTAGTTTCGTACGTTAGCTTCACCGTTTTTTACCCCCAAGGGCGGCGCAACGAATTTCTGGTAGG